AACGCCAAAAGAGGCTAGGAGTGAAACAGGTGTCTGTAGAAGTTGAGAGATGAGCTCCACTCCATTGATTCTGTTTGGAAAAAGTAGATATGTTTTTTTTTATATCTTATATCTAAATCATCTGAGAAAGTAATTTGTATCCTACCTGTTGAATTAATATAGCCCTCTATAGCAGGTTTACTGTGATTATTATAAACAGCGTTACATGGTGAGGTAGCGAATCCTACACGTTTGTTTTCTCTATCAAACACCACATAATATCCTTCCATTAATATAGCTCCTAGTACAGTTCCTGAAAGAATAAGTTCCACAATATAGCTTCAAGTACAGTTCCTGAAAGAAAAAGTTCCACAATATAGCTTCAAGTACAGTTCCTGAAAGAATAAGTTTCACAATATATCTCCTAGTACAGTTCCTAAAAGAATAAGTTCCATAATATAGTTCCTACTGGAACTTAACAACTGAGATATCCAAGGTTTCCTTCAGATCAGTAGTTAAAAAAGATGTTCAGCCTACCTGCTTCTGAGGAAGCTATACCAAACTTAAAACATTTTCCTGTTTCAAATGGATCTATTACCATTCGTAAATATTTCTGAAAAGAGAAAGAAATATATTCATATACTGTATAATTGTGAATATATTGCACACCATTTCTTACTCTTACTAGTAAATCTGGTAAAACTACACACTTATTTCAACTATCTGTACCACTTGGCAGAATGAACCAAGTCTGTCATCTACCAACAACTACCTAGTCTGTGATATCAGTTAGCTGGGAGCAGACGTTAACTTGTCATCTACCTAGTCTGCGATATCAGTTATCTGGGAGCAGACGTTAACTTGTCATCTACCAACAAAGAACACTGGATGTACAAAAAAGCAAACTTGATGAACAGGAGTGTGCTTTAAAGGAATATTCAACTTACTTCGGAAGGTATATGTAGTTTAAATAAAGAATTTTCACTGTGATACATTGAAAGAGAGATGGTAGGAAAAACTTGGAATGGTAACATAGCATCTTCCCAACACATTACTTCATCTCCACTCCAAAATGACGGAGAAAATGGACGCTCCATGATCTGTTAATCAAATTGAAATGAAAATAGTTAACACTTTAAACACTGATGGTAAATAAAATCAATTGTCATACCCTGAACTCAAGTAATCAAGTAATATAAAAATGCATACATAATGCGTAATGTCACCTGGTTTCATCATCTACTACCCTATATATCATGTAATTAAGTGCTATACTTTTTTTTATGAGAATCCAATAAATCATTTGATATTGTATTACTCCACAATATATACTGATGCAAATCTTCCACTGGGTTTTTAAATTCTGAATATTTGTAATAATATATGGTCTTAAGTTAACTTACCTGGACTTTATGTTGTATGTGGTTTAATATGGATTTATAAACACGCTTGGGGAATCTCATATTAGTCGTTCCTGTATCTACTATTGTTCTGTCAAAATTATACTGAAATTATACAGATAAACCAACAGATGATAGTATAAAAAAGAAAAGAAGAAACAACTATATTTTACAAGGATAACAACTTAGGTTCACAGTTAACGATTCTTCCTTGGCCGAATGTCTAGGCATTCGTTTTTTCCAGATTATCTGTACCTATTTGCAGCTGGGTTAACACGAATTATGATAATCACCCAAACAATAAAAACCCTACCCAATAAAGCCAACCCCCACCCTTCAAAAAAAAAAACAATCAAAAGCCCAAGTATTACCCACCTCTTTACAGTCTAGTCCCAGACTATTAGAGTCTACAGCTATATCAGTTATTAAAACTTCATAGTACCAGAGTTTCTGTAGTGGAGTATAGTAGATTTCACTGTTATAGAGGTCACTAGATAGACCTCCTATAGTCTAAAACAATTAATAAATAAAACATTCATTAAGGTTAATTATCAAAAACAATTAAAAAAACACTCTTATTAATAATAATAATAAACTCATGCTCCTGTCTATTCAATATAATGAATTAATGAAAAAAAAACCCCAAAAACTCAGGATAATTATCCAACATAATAGTTTTTTTTAAGCAATTTCAGCCATCAGAATCTCTTTTCAAAAAGAAGACCTAAAAAAGCGTTTGTCTTAAACTAAGTCAAATCTTTAAGCTAGGGTAAGAACTCATAGTGACACAAGGACCAGATGGTGAATACTAATTAATATAAAATTTAATAATTGGTTGCCAATCACAGCCTGTCTGTTTGTTTAAAAGACATCCAACTTACCATTGAACCTCCCATTTTGTCATCTTCAGCAAGGTATGGTGTTCCACATAGCTGTACAGCGAAAATATCTCTCACCCCTCCATCTTTAACTAGACTGTTGAAAAATGGTACTATTGAACTATCAGGCTGAAATATAGAGGAGTATTATTTGACATAGCAAGTTCTATTCTGAATTTTCATGAGCAATGGCCAATTTGTCATTTGTTAAATTAATAAATAAATATCAAGATTAAATAACAAAAGAAATATTATTGAGAAACAAATTTGATTTGGGAATATTTGTAAACCCATGTATCATAATCAGCCAAGTTGTCAGAACCAACGATGTTATTTGATGTATCCAATGCTTTCACAGACTCCTGCAGCAAATGGAGGACTCATTCTATTAGTACAAGCGCATCAAAAAGATTGGTACCGGTACAAAAAAGAAAACAGTTCTTATAATATATTTCAAAGAAAATGGAGACTCACCCGTGCTATACTCTCATACGCCATTCCCACAATGCCCTGCCACTCAGAACCGTTAATAAAGAAATTCTGTGACTGTGTGATAAAGGCTATATTAGGTCTAACGGTAATATTTGGTAGAACAGTCAGCTGGACGTCGTCAGTACCCAGCAACCCTTTCCATTCACCCTGAGTATAGGGCACCTGAACTTCTCTTCCATCTTCTTCATAAGTTGAAGAACTGAAATAAAAAGTTATATGTCTTACTTTTCTTCAACTTATTCAGCTAATGAAGAATGGAAAAGCAATGCAGTGTACGATGAGGGGATTTTAGGCCTACTCCTTTTCAACTTCTAATTGTTGAAGGATCTTTAACATGCACAGCCTGTAGCATGTTGACGAATTAAAAATAGTAAAATTAAATTTTACAACCCACTTAGGAGTTGATGAAGAAAGACAGAAAAATAACTAAACACCAACAAGGATAACAACTTAGGTTCAAGACTATTTACCAGCTGGTTCTTGGCTAAACCTCTTGGCATTGATCTTACCCAGATTATCAATGATGCCTATGTTCTATTTCAATAGTTAAACACCAAGATCCCTAGACAATATTCCAAAAATGATAACCAGTAAATTTGGCACTAAAAGGAGAAAACCTACTTGATTCGTACAAAGTGTTTGTCTATATTAATATCAGGAACTGCTGCAATTGCTAGATTACTGCTTCCAGTATCAATCAGTACATTAATCTGCAAAAAAAAATAATGCAGGAACACTTTGTCCCAAAAACCTTCATTCCTTCATCTTTCCAAATTGCCTGTCTATCCAGTGGATGAATGAAGTGAGAAGTTTGAAGAGGGTATATTTACAATATTTAATTATATGCCAAATAAATTCCGAAATTTCATAAGAGATTTTCACAACATAATGAAAATTCAGGAAACATACTATATTACAAAGTTGCCAATTACTAGAAACACCATTTATACATTTTAAACAATCAAAAAATGTGAAACTGAGTCGGCAGACACATTTAAAAAAAAATTTGAACTCGTTTAAAAGTCATAGTATGTGCTTTTCTTTTTGACTCTTAAAATGGTAGAATAATAGGACATACCTTTTGGGGCGGTGTTCCTATTAACATGGTCATATAATAACCGTTTCCAGAATGGCCAAATAATTTCTCATTTGTGTTGACGTCTCGCGTAACTCTGTCACGATGAGATTCATGGCGGTCATGATTTACAGATCTTTTTAACGGAATGTGATAGGTCAATCCATGACAAAGGCTTAACAATAGAGAGAGGACCAAGCCCAGAATAAAACTCTGATGGACTAAACCCCTCATGTTATAACCAACTTTCATTTTTATTTTCCTTCTATCAAATGATCATCTTCTGATCTGAAATGTTAAAAAGTGAATAAGATAAATTTTTTTTGTGGATATAAATTGAACATTGAAACAAAAAACCCTCCAGAAAATGTCAGTACTTTACAATTCGCTGAGATGGGCAGGAGACAGGAGACAGGGGGCAGGAGACAGGGTGCAGGAGACAGGGTGCAGGAGACAGGGTGCAGGGGGCAGGAGATGACAGGAAGGAACTAGGAAGACGGGCATTATAACAACAATAATCATGTCAACAATGCATTATTGGCTTTTAACCCCTGCCAACTATCCTAACCCATGCCTGTTCCTTTCAAGGGAAACAATTATCAAGGAAAGAATTGGGTTATTAGGTGGGGGAGAAGGGCATTATAGTAACAACAACAAATGTCAACAATGTATCAATATTGCTGAATATGGTTGATAATTGTTAGTAAACCTCTTTTCCATCAACTTCATCAAAGATAGGAAAGAGGGAGAATGATGTATGAGATCGTCGGTATAAATCAAAACATACCATATCACTGATCATTTGTTTTCAGGGTCAGATTTAATACATTTTACTGAAATTATTAGTGCGTCGGAAATGAAAGTAACACCTGTGGCAACGTACAAATTTCCACTTTATCAATAAAACAGTAAAACGAAATATAAAAAGCAAATTTCGAAAACTATTCAAACTAAGAATTTGTTATGGTTATTATAGAAAATAAAGAATTGTGTAAAGTGTTAATTTCTGGCTCCGTATCCTATAATGTTGATCTTTCGTGAATACGATTTTAAGAAACCACGATGCGATCGTCATGCAAACTTTCTAAAATACTGCTGCGTAACCAATTAGTCTATTCTGAATATCAATCAATTATTACATCATAACATCATATTGGTCTTCGAACATTTCAAATTAAATTCAAGTCTATTCAAACTGATGTTGTTTATTATCTTTTTAAAAAAAAAATCAAAAAACAAACGTATCCATTTATTACACGCTCGAATGCTCCAGCTCGTGTTTACATTCTTATGCAAATGAGCTCTTGTCTAGCAACCTGCAAACAATATGGCCGCCTTAATCTCTTGTAACGTCAACTTGCCAACAAAAAACATCTCGATGGGTCTAAATTAAGGAATTGAAGGCGACAAGAAGAAGGAAAATTAAGGGTTAAATATTGAAGTATGTATTTACACTGATTTCAAGTCTTTTTCCTGTATTTTTGATTATTGGCAGGTAATTCTGATCAAACCGCCTGTTTCTTCTAGCCACCTGCTAGGTGCCACAGTTGCAGCATCACTGATTCAGACTACAAACAACTCATTGTAATAGATCCAACAAAATAACCCAACACCTATAATTAAAGCCATGAAAACATGAGACTATTCACATAATCATGTCATGAAAGAGGATACATCTCACAAGCTAAACGTTGTTAATTAACTCTTCACTTCAAATTATTTTTATTTAGGCCAGCTTCTCTTACTCTAGTCAATCTTATATAACAAAATTCCTATTCATTAGGACTAATTTGGCACAAATTAAAATTGTGATTTGCACTTTTCCTTGAATATCTGATCAACAGATCAAATTGCCAAAGAGCAGGATTATATGAGCTGGATTGTTGAATGAATAGTAAATGTCTGTCTGTTCAGTTGAAATTCTTGAAAATATATCATTTATGATGAATTTGTGGCTGAATTACCACACTGAACGAATAGCCATGGCTGTCATTATATCAGACAAAATTCTTAAAAATTTCATTTTGTTGGTTGATGAAACTGATTTTTTACAGAGAGAAAGACAAGAAGAAACAAAATGGATGAAAGGTTGAAATGGTTAGAAACGAGAATAACCTCGTCCTTGAAGCCACGAAACGAAGATTTAAAAAACTTATTCTTAAATGATGAAAACAGGTATGGGACTTGTCTATATTATAGTCCTCTATTCTACCTGAAATTCAATGAATTAGCTTAATTTCTTTCCAAATTATTCAACTACCAAGCTGTAATTGAATATAGATAATCCAGGAAAGATCAATGACAAAAGGTTTGGCCAAGGATCATCTGGTAGAAAGGATCCTCACAAATGTAAGATGTTATCATGTTAAAATGGGTTGTTTCTACCATTTAGCATGTCCACTAAGATTCAGAGAGCTGTAAGTTGGAATATTTATTGTGTATTTCAGACTGGCGTTCTATGAGTTTATAAACAATGAAGACGTAAAGAGGTTATATGTTTATATACGCCCACCTCGACAGATCACAGCCTCACAACTCCCACCTTTCGATTTAAAATCAAAATCTATCTTCTTTTTAAAATGTAATCCTGGTACAAAATTAACCAAAGATAACATGGGTAAGTTTACTTTCATCTGAAACAACTGTATTATTTGTCTTAGAATTGGATATTAATTAAGTGTCAAAGCATCCATTTATATGGTAATTCTATTATGAACTAAACCATTTAATAGACATTTTAATCAGGACATTTAACCATTGAAATTTGTTATCAAAGTCAAGGCTTTTGTTTTTTATCTTAATTATAGATACAGTCATACCATTAGAGCATAAATTGCTATTTCCTCAATTATATTTCTTGAAATCCACAAAAATTGGCTCATTTTGAATAAAATTGACAAATATTACAACCAGGCATTTATTTGCTTCTGTCCAACATAACCGGTATATGAATCTTCATATCAAAAATCCTGTAATGTTCCATATTAACAAAATCAAGCAACCCTATCCTTTTAACAGTTTTCTGATGGTTTGGTATTTTAGATCAAGAAGTATTTTATATAGACTGTACATCCTTACCATTAGAACATTTAGAATTAACAATCAGAGAAGTATTCCTGCCGTTACTCGGCATCAATCAACCTAGCGTCACTGGCGTCGGCATCAACGGAGATAAACTGATGGATATATTACATAGATTAATGGCGGCAGTCGAGGTCACACAAGGTCATGTTGAAGGTCGTATCGTATTAAATCTACCATCCATAGAGGTATTGGCTGAGGCAGCTTCCTCTGTTAATCGTAGAGCCTCGGTTTTACACGTTCTAGAAACTACAGTCATTGGATGGATTAAACAAATCAGGGTAGGTAATCTCAAACAAAGATTTATTTCAGTTGATGAAGAAAAAATTAACTTACAAAAATGAGAAAAAAGGCAACAGTAAGATTTTAGTGTGTTTGATTTGTTTTCTGTGGTTATTCAAGAGAAATGCTGATATCTTTCAAAGACCACTGACAAATTTCTCAAGGTTTTTATTGGCTATAATCAGATTGTAATTATTTTAACTCTACTTATAACAGTTCATTTATAACAAAAAAACACGAGGGAATATATTATGGTATATTGTGGTAGGTCTATATATTCCCTTCTGTTTTATTATATTATGTACTCTCCACTTCAATTGTTTTTTATATCTGCAATCTTAATGTCTCATGTTCCATTTTCACGATTACAGACAGTGCTAAAACATGATCCACAAGCAGATCTGTATTCTCAGTTTGGTGGAGAACCAGGTCCGTTAGATGAAATTAAGATGTGGGAGAAACAGCTAGAACGTCTTCATTCTATCAATGCACAGTTGGATTCAGATATAGCCGGTGATATTCTACATAATCTAGAACAAGCCAACAGTCAATACGCCCATTCATTTCGTACAGTTAGAAAGGATATAGATAAGGTAAGAGTTTAGAATTTCACACTAGGCCACAAAAAATAGTTTTAATCGAGATATCCTTGAATTGAAACCAATGAAACAGGTCAATTGCTTGACTCTTTTATGAACTTTGTCAGTAAATTTTCGATCTAATTTAATTCTAAGAACTGTTCAAAAGTTTCACATTTCACAAAGATTGTTTCAGCAAAATTAAGTGTTTTTGTGAATTTTGATTATAAGATTTTTCTTTTGCGAACTGCGTTCCTGGATCATAGTGAACTATTAGAAGGTTTATATTCTTCATGATTGATTTTATTTTATTTTGCAGGCTGTACAAGACACAAATAAAATATTAAATTTTCTGAGTACAATGAGAGAATGGTTTGATAGATTACACTGGGCTACTGAACCTAAAGAAATGTTAATATTATTTAAACCTATGATGACTGCTTTATTGTTGGTCTGGACACATTCTACGTAAGTTCTTCTAACTGTAACTCTCGCAAGCAGTCTTAAAATCTATTAGTTGAAACACTGTTATTTCATGGGGAAATTATAGTTTTTCAGATGACTCATGTATTTTCCAGTCATGTCTAACTTGCATTTGAAAATATCTGACATGGAAATATCATCAGATATGTTGTCTATTCTGTCATTTTATCATAATTCATTTTGCGGATGGAGGATTCATAAAATAAGCTGGCAAAATCTTCATGGAACTAGGGGATACCTTGACAATAGGAACCACGTAGAAGAATTTTTTTTAAATGATTTTTGTTTTTGATTTTAGGTATTATCATCAGATAGATAAATTTCACAATCTCCTAAGTCTACTATCTAATGAAGTGGTACATAGAGCAATAGCAATGGTTGGTCCTGATATACTTAGAGAACCATTAGAGGTAAAAACTTCTTTATATGTCAATCTGTAGACATTCTCAACATCCTTGAGTTCAGAAGCTTACTTTAAGATTATTCCTGCCAATTGCTTAATGAAAATTCCCCTAAATTCCGTCACTGTCTATAATGTGCTTAAAGAATCTTTAGAGGTAAAAACTTACGAACATGTCAATCTGTAGACATTCTGAACATCCTTGAGTTCAGGATTAATCCTGATCTTCATCAATTAAACATTTTAATATCATTTTTATCTTTACTCTTTATAGTCATATACAAAATTAAAAGATGCGTTACGTGTGTGTGCTGCGTTTCGAGGAACTTATTTAGATTTTAAAGACAATGCTGATGATCAGAATGCTTTAAATATCACAGAAAATGCGGAAAGATTGTAAGTCTTTTGCCTGACTTTTTTGTCGTTTCTACTTCAGTTTTGCTTTTGTCGATTTTAGTCGATTTTTTGCAATTTATTTTCTTTGAAAAATGATAATGCGTATACAAAGAAATGTCCAAATATTCTCTGATCTAAAATATACACTTGAATTATCATCAATCTTGTATGTACAAGGTAGACATATTCTGCAGAAACCATTCCTAAACTTTGCCATTTATATTGTTATATGGGAACTTTTCAGGGCAGCAAGACCTCAGGGTAGTTTATTTATGACCAAGATGTATGGTCCCCACGCCTACACGCCACGCTACGGTATTCGTAGATCAGATGGCGATACTAGTCAATCTTTAGAAGAAGATGAATTATGGACAGACAGTCCGTGGCCGGCTAGAAATGCTCCTTCTTTTGATCTTTTAAACAACTTTATGGAAAGGTTTGTATTCAAATTCTTTATCTATCTTATTTAAATGGATGTAGTGGTCTAAATATTTATTTTCTCAGATAAAATCACTTTTTAGAATGAAAATCTTGCATCTGGTTTGTGTGTAATTTAAGAACAATGCAGAAAGGATGACAGTCCATGCTGTTGTTAAAATGTTCAAAACTATTAAATATTTTTATATTTGGCTTTGGCCCTTGCATTGGAGACATGCTTCTCATTTTTGGTACCCCACCTTAGTCATTTTCTTAATACACTCGTGATTCTCATATTATTATTTCCCATTCTAGATGTAATGATGTATTAGAGCTAGTAGAAACAACTCGTCATTTCCGTCTGCTGGCCGGTGCCGCTGAAGTAGGAGGTGCTGGAAATATGAGTCTGGACGCCATGGTGAAAGAGATCCACCAGAAATACACTCTAGCTATGGAAGAGTTCTTCTCCTTGGTTGATAATGTACTCAGTATAGATGGCTCGCAATCATTTGAAAGATCTTTCTTTAAATTTAGAACTGTAGTGAAGGTATTTATTTCTGTGTCCATCTGATACAAATTTGTATTTTTTTAAATCTGATAGATGTTGATATGCACAATTTTGTAATTTTAATTTGTTTTCTAAATTGAAAATTTGATTTCTCCAGAGATACTTTCTGTCACAATAGTCTTTGCACCAGGGTTTTTGATAAGGCTCTGTTTTCTGGACTTGGCTGGCAGGGAAGCTCAAATGTCAGAGTAATAAGTCTGTGTTCCAAAGAATAAAATTGCAGTCAGTCATTTTGGAGCTCCAATCAGACATGACTGGCAAATACAGATAAATCAGGTCATTATATCAAAAGAACAACAATATAATATACAATGCAACTATTCTATTAATTTTGATAATGATATTAATAGGGTCTGGAGAAGAGGTTAGCTGGTATTTTACGTCAGGCATTTTGTCAATGTCCCACTGTCGAATCTCAGTTAAGATTATTAGAAGTTTTTGAAGGAGTTAGCAGTCGGGAGCTGGTTCAGGTAGGCCTAAGATTGTTTTCTATTGTTTGTTTGTTACATTGTTTTTTTTCTATATATTTATGGTTCAAGAAACAGTTGAAATCTTAATGTCATGGGAATATGCATCATAATTGGGAATATAACGCTCACCTTTTTGTACTTTTTTTATTTTCAAATGCTGATATACGTAAGTAAAGTTTATTGGAGAAAGTTAAATGGACTTAAGGCAACAAAAACAAGCAAAAATTTTCTGAATTAAGACCCAAAGCAGGCAGAGAATGATTATAAGTTTTTACTTCTTTTCAAGGCTCATCTGAAAGATAAAGATGCACAGTTAGTAGAAGCATTCACTGCAGAACTTCAACAAGTTAAAGAAATGTTTACGGAAAATAGCATCAGCCCTCCGTCACATTATAACATGCCCCCTATTGTCAGTCGATTAATGTGGGTCAGCGCTTTACAAGAACGCATTAGGGTAAGTATCAATTTTCAGATATTTCTACCTGGTTTCTCATGTCAGAGATCGGGCTCTCATTAGCCCATACAGGTGCAGAAGATGTGGATGTAAAACTCCATTTCATTTCCTGTCAGTGAGGCAGATTTGGGGGCTGATACGTAAAAAGCATCTAGTTATTCCGCTGGGACGATGAACCATGGCCCTGTGTGCTACAGACTGTTTGTTACAGACACCTCCACAGTTGGAAATTCAAACATAAAAGTAAATTTAAATTCTGTGTATTTTTCCAAAGTTCAAACTTAAAGTTGTAAGCTTAGAAAGTTTTGTTCTGTAAATTCTAGATCCCCATGGAGAAGCTACGTCAAGTCAGCCCCCACTCTCTAGAGGGTGACAGTGGTTGGCAGATGAGAGACACCTATAATAGCTGTATGAATGAACTAGAGACGTATGAGAACAAACTAGTAACAGATTGGAGAAGCAATATTACAGCTGAGTTAACTCTACGACTGAAACAACCTTTATTGGTAAGTTAAAGAAACACAACCATACTTTACAAGGATAGCAACTTACTTACTTGCTCTAGGTTCTTAGGAGCTCTTCTACAAGCTGGTTAGTGACCTTGGCATTAATCTGTCCCAGTTTATTCTTACCCATTTGCAGCCGGCTCGAAAGGGATAATGTTGAAACATGAATTATTATATTTTCTTGCAGGTTGCAGAAGATTTTGATGAAGACCTTGACATTCGACCTCAAATTGTCCACGTGAACCTTGACCCCCAGTTATTGTTGTTGCTGCGTGAGATCCGATATCTTGGTCGGACGCCATTCAACATCAAACTACCAGAAGGAGCGAAGGAATTGATTCGTAACACCAATTCGTTTGAATTATCAGTAACTGCAACAAGATTAGAAACTATTGTATCAAAATACAACACCATTATGAGAACAATCACATCATTTGAACGACCAATGTTTGAGAGAAAATTGGCTAAGATTGATATAGTAAGTATATTTTCTTTTCAACTGGAATTCTTCGTTTCAAAGATGCAGGTCAGAGGGGTAGGCTTTGGTGGAAGGAGCAAAGCCGACACCGGGCTCACTCATGGATGCACTGGCTGTGGATTCAGAATTGTTCTTATATTGAGGTGGATTGAACTCATAGTATCTAAATGCTAATGCAATGGGCAGACGAGTGTATTCTTTCGCCCGATCTAGTAGAGTAAAAGGGGCAGCCATTTTGAACATCACATGATATCAACTTGTCAAATTGGTTTAAAAGTATTGACTGCCCGATTAAATGCACAAGACAAAGGCAGACGAGCGAAATTTACCAGGAAATGGAATCACCTGCAAAAATCGTTTAAAATTTTTAAGAGTTTTTATGATTTGCAGCGTCAGGCAAAAACGCCGGTGTGCCACCCTACTTTAACACACGTTAATTTTTTTTCTAGTTATTTGAGCAAGGTTTACAAGAGTTTACATGGAAGATGAAAGAATCAGCAGATTTCATCGAGACAGCCATGTCATTAGTTTGTCTAGACGTACATCAGAATCTAGATATCGTACAGACTGACTGTCATGATATTGTAGAGATCACAGTATCCTGGTGTAAAAATACTCTAGATGTTTTTAAAGCTAGGAACCCTCAACTCTCTTATCCAATGGAAGAATTGTTAGAAATGCAAAAGTAAGTACAATCACATATATTATTGGAGATATTTTTTATGCTTTTCCAAAATATTTCTCTGCTGCTTTGGTAAAATACTTCTTTATGCATGTATGTATATGTAACAGTGATGTTCAATGTATATTTTAGATGAATACATATTCAAACTGGTAAGCTAATGTCGATTTATTTAAAGAAATATGATAACAACCTGAAATTGATGTTTTGAGCACTATTTTAACAGTGAAAATATCTTGTTTATAAATTTATAATTACAGTCAACTAGAAGATGAGCTAGAGAATATTGTGGTACCATCAGGAAATAAAATACATTCACTTGTTCATAAAAGTTTCGAGGTAAGAATGGAGGTTAATAGTTTCTTAGCAGTTGATAAGAAGTTCAAGTTTTCCATATTTAGAGATAGTTCTGTCTGATTGTCTGCTTGGGGATAAAAAAAATAAGAAAAAACTACTGTCATCATAATGGATTTTTCATCTTCAGTAGCTCAATGACATCATTGGATATCATTTCATTTGAGTATAATGTTAATATAATGTTGTCGTTAACAACTAATTAGTATTATAATATTATAATTTGTTTATTTGTAGGCAGTACAGATATCCCAGGCTTCCCCAGCATGGCAGGACTATATAGATTATATAGACGCTATAGTACTGGACGGTCTAAAACAAGTCACATTATCCAGTCTTACATCTATGTTAAATACACTAGTACAGGCAAATATAGCAGAAATAAATGTAAGTATCATTAAAGGGATTTTAAAAAGGTTTTCTAAACTTTTTATGTGAATCAGAGACAGTGCTATTGATAAAGAAGATTAGTGACGTCATACGACACTTAATTTTAGGGGAATTGCAGGAACCACAGACGCCTGATTGAAAATTGGAATGGTGCAAATTGATGCTTTTAGTGTCCTTGAAGATTTCTAAACAACCATGTAAATGTTTTTCAGATGCCTGAGTCAGTAATACCAATATTAACAATCCGTCTGGAACTGATAGACAACGCTGTTTCGTTCTGTCCACCGCTAGACCAAACCACGTCTGTTGTTAGCGTACAGGAGTTGGTTCAGAAATGGCTAGACAGTTATCTAGCTAGAGGCCTACTCGTCAAGATGCTTGGAACAAAGGTAGTAAATTATATTTTAAATTTAGTGTGTTCAGAGCTCTTTATATGGCAAATGTCACGTATGACTTTCCTTCTGTCTGTTCACGTTTCTCAAAATGGTGAACTACTGGTAAAGCTACTTGGAATATAGGAGGTAAATTTTGAATACATGTATTGGAAAAAGATTAACCTATGACCTTTAAAAGTGGTATTTATTTATTGTGAGGACTTAGACTTGTATATTCCATCATTCTAAGGCAGAATTTCTATTTCCAGGGAACGTATAAAGATTATATTGAAGCTGATGGTGAAATTAAAGTTCTCCTCTCTAATATTCATAGTGTAGTAGATGAGAACAGTGAGGAATGTAAGGTAAGGAGTTATTGCCCTTGTAATTATATTTCACTTCTGGAATTCTCCCTAGATATATAATGACAAACAGACAACTTTCCTATGTAGATTAAATTTGTTAAATCTGCATGTGACTCCACTTCCCATCCTTGATCTGACACAATTGTTATGCATCTCCTGTTCTGGGTCATATGATATTCAATCAATCAGATGATCAGAAATTGTACAGGCTATGCAATCTAAATTCTGCTCATTATTCATTGAATGGTGTTGAATATCTGAACTAGGCCAATCAGAAATATAACAGAATGAAGACATAAACAAATTGCTTATTTTAGAAAATGTTGGAAGTATTTAAAGATTATGCGTTTCTATGGTTACGAGATGTGAATGAAACGTTTGAAGAGTTTCTACAAGGGATATTATCACCCAATCCGTTACGTTCACCAAATAGAAGTGTGGCTGCCGAGATGAGGAATTTTGCGGCGGAGAAATCTACAATGTCAAGGTCAGTCCAATGTTTGAAAATGTCCGAACCATGGTGTTGATATACGTTATGAGTGAAATTAGAATCATATTGATAATATTTACAGAGATATTCTCATCTTTATCTGCTCAATTTCAGCTATCTGTATCGCTTTCAGAATAAAAATCCTGCATCAGGTTCTCTTGCAATTTAAAAGAAACTGCATGTTGGATTTCAATACTGAACAGTAATGCAGATAGCTGAATATGAATTAGGAGCATAATTGAGGATAACATGATGTCAACTGCGACTTGGGTATATACCTAGTAATTATCAGCAGACGGAGGCAAGTGTCGAAAGGGTAAAGAAATATAATTTTTGTTGCAGAGCCTCATCCCACAGTTCTATAGGATCAGCTGGTCTCATGGGAACAGCAGAGAGAAGTTTCCTGACCCCTAAAAATATCCAAGACGGAGAAAACGAACATATTCCATCATTAGACGAGTTTGATGCTGAGATTGACATTTATAAGGTATGTAAAAGTACTTCTAAGTTACAATGATTTAAGAAAGAAGCAGGCTGTAGCATAGTTAGGTAGGGGGTTGAAATCTCTACATGACATTTGTAAGATGTAAAAGTCTTGTGACCTTGAATAAGTCATCTTACTAAGTTGTTATCCTTGTAAAATATAGTTGTATCTCCCTTTCTTTGGATCTAAATGGGTATGGATAATCCGAGAAAGAACAATGCCAAGAATTTTGGCCAAGGACCAGCTGAAAGAGAAAATCCTTAATTGTGAATCTAAGTTGTTATCCTTGTAGAACATGGTTTTCTTCCTTTCTATCTTTGGATTTAAATCCTGGAAAGATCAATGCCAAGAGGTTTGACCGATGACCAGCTGGTAGACAGGATTCTCTTGAACATAAGTTGTTATCCTTGTAAACATTGGTCGTTTTTTTTCTTTCTTTCTAACATTTGATTGGTTATTTTCAGACGGCGAGAGATGAGATACAAGCGTTACAAGATTACCATAATGTAGGTTGGGTTCGCGTTGATTTACAGCCAATCAAACAAGTCCTAACAACCTACGCTAGCAAATGGATGTGGACTTTCACTAAATATCTTTCCAATCAGGTATTTACCCCTTTTCTTTTCTTCCTTTTTTTTTTCCACATCTCTGTATAAGCTTATCAAAGTCGGCATTCATGTGGTCTATCTGGTGGCCCTTTATTCACATTTCCTCCAAAACGAAGTAAGATCTGAAGATTTTAACCAAATTTGATAAACTTGGTTTAAGTATACATACTCATAAACCGAAGATTGTGTTTGAATTTTAGGTTAGTGATATGTTAGAGAAACTGGACCTGTTTTTAAAGAGAATTGAACCAGAAATAGAAAGTATAACTGGTGAAGAAAGAGACACGGCCAGTTTCATGAAAATGATGAGACTCTTTAATGAGGTATGCTTCTTTTCTTTCTGACATGAATTCTGTAATCACAGACATTTTCAGTGTTCCAGATGGATCATTTGATTGGTCAATCATTAAATTGATGTTGAATTCAGTATTTTTATCCAATCAGATTACTGTATTTCATAAAATCTGGATATTATCGGCAGACAAAACATGTCAAGATGATGAATTGCAAACTGGATAGATGACAACCATTTTGAAAGTTATTAACTCTATTTGTGGTGGCAATGAAGCCAGTTTGTTCCGAGTTTATTACTAAATTTGATGTATTGAGAAAGGTTTGAGCCACTAGTATGATAATAAAAAAAAGGTCCAAGTTCTTCTTCAAATGTAATATCATTATGTTTCCAGGTATCGGCTCAGCAGAATGAAATGGAAGGTAAATTTACCGCCATGCACCGAACTATGATATTATTGAAGAAATACGGCCAGTCATTACCCGAGAACACACAGTTTTTATTTAACGCAGCTCCTGGACGGTGGAACTCTCTAAAAACTAAGGTTTCCCTGGCGAAACAGAGACTCGGTCCCAGAATACAGGAAGAATCAGCTAGAATTACTCAGGTAATATTGGATACATTCTAATTAAAATTAGATACAATTTTGTTTCTTTTCTTCTGATAATTTTCATCTCCATTGTAATCTGACAACTTTTGTACTGCACTCATGTTCCTATGATGTTATGATTTACCAATCAAATGTGTCATGGATAAATTGATCATCATGAATTGTGGGATAGCCCCTTTGGGTTTTGCTCACAATTGAATGTATTTTAAGCAAATTGTTGACAATCTCATCCAGTTTTAGGGATCAATAGAAGGTCCAATCCCAATCCAAAACTCTTAAAAAAATTCCCAATTCAAGATGTAAATTTACTTGGCACTGCTTTATAGATCCACAAAGTTAATTGAACCAACTATGCAGCCATGGGTCAACCTTGATATTTTTGTAGGATGTAAAACTCCATTCATTTTGATATTTTTGTGATTTTAGGATCTTGAAGCATTTTCTAACCGTGTGAACAACTTTAATAAAGATATGGAGAATTCAGATGTTTATAGTCGAGATTGTAGTGTGAACGATTCCTGGAATATTATAGACAGATTCAGTAAAAAACTTCTGGTGCTGGAAAACGAGGCGCAGGTAAGGATCATCTATTATTGTGTGTGTTTATTTTGACGATTAGGTATGTTTATTAGGCTATCTGGGAGTATCAGATTTTTAAGGAGACTATTGAAGTATTCTAAGCTTGAGACATCAGAAAATATTGTCTAAAGTATGGCAAAACCAAGGGTAAAGTTGTATAGTTGTGGACTCTTCCAAACAAAAGCACCTTCAAAGTGTTGAAACAAAGATACAAGCAAGAAGAAGGCTTTCGGAATCCATATCTATGGATAAAGTCACTCAACTTGGAATGGTCTTTTTGTACTTTCAGGATTTAATAGAACTTCAAGAATTATTAGAAACATCAGTTGTTAATTTCTCCATTCTACCTCAGTAAGTTATGATTTATCAGGTTATTGATAGATTTTTGAAATAAAAGAGTTCGGAGGTATTGTTTCTTAAAGCAGATCTCTAGCTGGGAAAATGAACCTTATATATTACTACAAAACATTTGCTCATGCTTTATTAGGCTATACTCTTTAAGGCATGACAGCAAGAGCGAGCAACTCTTACCTGACTATAAGGGAACTAACTCTTATTATGAGAGGACTAATCCAGACCACAATGTGGTGTTTGGTTGTTCTCACAAAAACATTATATTTCTGGGCAACTTATTTCAAAGATCTCAATGTCTCAGAAAGTTACGGCGAATGCCAAAAATGCATTTTAAATTGATGTTATTTTCTAGATGTCGTTATGAATTAAACAACCTTAAACAACTGTGGGAAACTGTGAGAGTTATAGATGAACAGCAGAGTGAGTGGAAACGCCATCGCTGGCAGAAGATGAACACCAAGTTTTTACGGGAAGAAACGAATAAACAACTAGAAATTGTACGAAATCTCTCAGATGATATTTATACATGGGATGTTTTTATGGGACTTCATGAATCTATTACCACTATACAGGTGAGTCTACTTATATTAGTTGCTTTACTGATATCTTAGACAGCAGTGGTGACTTGGTGAGTTGAAGCCTTGCTTGCCAATCTGAAGGTCCATTGTTTGATCCTGGCATTGGTGGAGGTAATACCTTCAGATTTTCAAACCAGTATACATCTCTCAGTGATGTAGGTCAGAGGGGCGCACATGGAAAAGGCGTCTAGACTTTCGGATGGGACAATAAATCGAGGTCCTATGTGCTACAACCTGTGCTTGTCAAAGATCCCTTAACAGTTGGAAATCAAAAAAGAATAGGCTAATGCTGCTGTCCTGCCAAAATATGTCTGCCCCTGATCTATCATGTTTTTCTTACCTTATGTAGAGTTGTCTACCCCTGATCGATGATCTGAGTAATCCAGCAATGAGAACGGGACATTGGAAACAGCTAGTACGAGTGACAGGGGGAGCTCTAACTATCGATAATGATATGTTAAAACGTATGACCCTTGGTGAACTGCTTAGCCTTGGCTTACAGAGTAAGTAATCCTTAATTCTCACCTTTGTCCATTATTGTTCGGTTACAAAATGGTAGACCATAAACAATGGCTGGGGAACCTCTGATGAAATTTGTGTCCCTGTAATGGACGCCCAATATGGCAAACCATTTATACGGCAAAAAAATATGCACTATACTCGCAAATATACTGTATATGATATATTTATCCTCTATTGAGGTAACATATTTGAATATTTTAGAACATGTCGATGATGTGCGAGCTATAGTACAGAGAGCAGCTAAAGACTTGACGATAGAACAGAGTTTAAAAACATACGAAGAAGTTTGGTTGAGTAAAGTGTTCGAGTTACGATCACACATCAGAACAAAATGTCTGGATAATACTACACAGGTTTGTTCATCTTCAGTTTTCGTTTTTAATAAACATGATATATGGAAGTAGGGGGGTCAGTTATGGATGCAAGCAATTGACTATGTCAACTTCCTTATTATCCAAGGGCATCTACTAAGGTTCTATCTAATTGTTGACTTTAGCCAATACTTTCACAGCAACTTAGGTTCACAAGGATCCTTTCTACCAGCTGGTCCTTGGCCAAACTTCTTGGCATTGATTTTTCTCAGGTTTTTCGTACCCATTTAGATGTGAATTGACTTGAATAATGAAGAAAGATTTGTTGATCTAGTCTTTAGAAACATGCACATTGAAAATAACAGAAAATGAAGGACAATTTGTCATTTTTCATAATTTGATATCTGATTTGTTTTTGAATATTTTCAGTCCCAAGATAACCAGAGTGAGGTAACGAGTGAGGCAGGAGGTTCTCAGGTCCAGGGTACCCAGCCCAGTAAAAGTCAGGTCCGAGCTGGTAGTCGGGTGTCCAATCAGAGTTCTATTAGTCGTAATAAACGAACCAGTATTACATCACTTCCTGCTTCCTTGATGAATATAGCAGACGTAAGAATTTAGAATTTTCATTTTTCGTCTTGCATCAAAATAACAGTTGAGGAATTGTATTTGTTTTCTTCAATTTTTCACCTGATCCTGGCAGTATTTCCTTCATTGCATACAGCATGGCAATGCTCGCTATCCCTACCTGGGGAGCCACATAGGCTCAGAGAGTTAGACTCTTACTCGCTATCCTGAAGGTGTAGGTATAGGTCAAGATAATACCTTAAGGATTTTTCAACCCAGTTTTCCAACACTGTCATTGATGCAGGTGGGAAACTCTTTCATTGCACACTGCATGGCAACAACACGATCTTGTGTGAAAAAGCAGGATGTAAAAATTCTGTTTCATTTAGCCTATCCAATGCAGAAAAGTAAGACTGAAGCTCCATCTTATTTCATTTTCAAATGTTTCTCATTGACAGGATTTTGGAGCAATCCAACTTTTGATGCATACCGATCCAATATTTGATGAACTAGAGGGTCACCAGGTGTCACTACAGACCATGCAGAGCAGTAGCGCTGCAGGTTCCTTCCTGGACGAGGTGATGAAGTGGCAAAAACGCCTTCAAACTATCGAAGATGTTTTAACAACGTGGCTGGAAGTTCAAGAAAAATGGATAGAGTTGGAAGAGGTATTAATTGCTTGAAAAATATACCTAAATGGTGTGGACTCTCTAGAGAATTAACCCTTATATTCAGAAAACTATTTAAACGGGTTAAATGAACCTCATTGAATCATTTGAGAGTCAAAAAGTTGGAAGGAAGAGTAGCATCATCTGAAAAGACTGAGCATGCCCGAAATCTAAAACATCCATAACATCTGTTGTCAGCTTTTAATGATTATTTTTGTTTTCAGGTATTTTCAGCACCTGACGTAAAGACATCGCTATCCCATGATTCTAATCGATTCTCCAAGGTCAATCACGATTTCCGTCTGTTAATGAGGGCAACCGAGAAAAATCCTAATGTTTTACAGTGCTGTTCTAGAAAGAGTAAGGTTTTTGATTTACCTGATTTGTCTTATACTTGTTTGACCTTTTTTATGCAATCTTTTGGGGGAGTAAAGGTTGTAACTTTGTACTAATGACAAAGTTACAAAAGCACAGACACAGGACTTATAAGTTTTGGGTTGTCACAGTTTCTTGAATTGACTAGACCTCATCTCATGGACATATTCGAGATAGTGCTACTTTGATCAATATTGTGATACCTGTGGTATAGAAGCTTTTGTATTGTGATATGTAACATGCTAAAAGAATATTGGTTATTTGTCTCATCTCATGGATTTAATGTTCTGTTTCAGATATCCGAGCAGTGCTAGAGAATATGAACCACCTTCTGGAATCGTGTAAACGTTCATTATTAAATCATTTAGAAAGGAGAAGACAACTCTTCCCTAGATTTTATTTCCTTTCAATGGAAGATGTTCTCCATATTATTTGTAATGGTAAGACTCTTTTATTGTTATTTTCTGTATTGGGCATTGTGCTTTTAGCTCTTATTTATGTATTTGGTTCATTCATTCATTCATTTTCAGAGAGGCTATAATTCAATCATTCAGTTAAATTTTTGACCATCGTCTTTATCAGGCTCTTAATCACTCTCCCAAGGGAGATAACTCTTGATACATACTTCATAGCTTTAGACCACAATATGACAATACATTTATTATATTGCAGATTATGATTTAAATCAATTCATCTATATATTAACAATCTATTCTGTCATGTTGATGAGATGTTCATTTATTCATTTATTCATTTATTCATTTATTCATTTATTCATTTATTCATTTATTCATTTATTCATTTATTCATTTATTCATTCAATCTATTACAGGTTATGATTTAAATCAAATCAATCTCTATATTGATAAGTTATTCTGTCATGTTGATGAGATATTATTTGAAGAAACAGAAGAAGACAATGAGAAGTTTAATTTTATTATAACTGGTGTTAAATCTAAGATGGGAGAAAGTCTCATGTTACAACAGGTTCGTCTTTGGCAATCTTTATTTTTTGCCTTTTTCTTGTCAAAATGTAATTGTGACGAATTTTCAAAGTAGGATATAAATGATTTCTCTCATTGCACACTGCATGACATTGCCTGTCAATGAAGCTCCATTCATTTCCTTTCATTGGCTTTAAAATGTTCTGAGCCACAATCAAATTTTGTCATTATTTTTACCATATATTAATTCCAATTACAGCCAGTAGCATGTGAAGGTTCAATAGAAGCATGGCTGTCTTCTCTCATTAACAGTTTAAAAACAACATTACAATATCAGATATCTACAGCTCTAGGACACGAACAACAGAAACATACTAGAAACATCCAGTCAGCTGGGGCTCGACGTGTACCCATTAAACCATCTCCTACCAGCTCTCTTACTAAAATTAACAAAGGTAGGTTGTCCTGATAATTGTCTTCAGTGAAAGCATCTGATTCTTTGGATGGGACAATAGGACCACATGTGGACAATAAATGGACATCCATTTTGGATACCATTTATCTGTATTTAATGATTTTTTAGATTTTCCACTAGTGGTTCTCTGCTCAATATTTACAGTATATGTTAACTCAATTTTTTGGTTTCCCACAGAAAATGGTGACAAGCCACCCAGCAGACAACCAAGTCAACAAAGTGTTCACAAACGAGGTGAAGCATCAGATAGCCGACCCCCGTCAGGTACTGGGGATGGTATACCAGGGACTGAGTATTCTGAACATTCCTGGATACTGGACCATGTTAAAGAAATAGTCTATCTGACCACTAAGATACAGCTAACTGATTATGTACAGAACGCTTTAAAAGATATGGAACAAGGCCAGAGAGAGGCTTTACAGGTAGGCTATGTTTAAATTTTTGGTGGCCAATTTTATGTCACAAAACAAATAGAATATAATATAAGGACAATACAACAAGGCTCTGTGTCTTACAGAATACCTGTATGGAAATCAAAGTATTCACATGTTGCTGTTCTGGCAAAATTTCCCTCATAGCACACTGCATGGCTTTGTCTTCAATTGCCAAATCCAGTAGAGTGTAAAACTCCATTTCATTTCATGTATTCAGGATGCAGTGGAGAAGATAGAACGTAACATTATAGCTACCACTATTTTATTGAATGGTTTAGAAGGAGAACAGGAAAACGAGGTCAGAAAACGACGAGCTAAGAGTGCTGCTAGCAAAGGTAATTAAAGATGCCCATAACACCATGTGGACTCTATTGAAAGGAATGCAGAGTTTGCAAAATATGGCCTCAGTCCATTCATCCAAGAGTAATCCAAGTTACGCCTACATGCCTGTGCCTGTGCTTTCGTAACATTGCTTAACCGCAATATTACAACCTTAAATTCCAAATCTACTAAATGGTGTGCATTATAGTCACAATTATACTGTAAATGAATATTTTTCAAAAATTCTGGCCAGGAGCTTTATTTTTCATTCTCTTCAGAGAACTGTTGAACAGTAAATGCCAAAATATTCCAATATAAAAATCATAGAATTATTATGAAGAATAGAAACAGTATTTTTAAGGTACTTATGCTGCAGTTATTCGGAGTTTTTTCAATTTACTTACCAGCATTTTATTGGTTGAATTTTCTTCCAGACTCTCAACAAGGAGTAGAAAAAGAAACTGACATGATGTCGGAGTCTATGGGAATCAGGAGTGTGGCGCCCTCTGTTAAAGGGTCAATGGTGGATCTGATGAATGAATCGGGACGAGCTGGAATCTCAGAAGAACAAACGTCTAAAGATGATGGTAAGGAATGGAGCATTTTGTACCCCTCCCCCTCTCTCATTCCCCCCCCTCTCCCTCTCTCCCTCTCTCCCTCTCTCCCTCTCTCCCTACCCCTTTAAATACAAAAAACATATGAAGAAGACGTACAAAAGCGAGGTCAAATTTGTAATATTTTTTATTTTGACAGAAGGGGCACCTACAACTGACACCATGAACCTAACCATGGAGATACAAGACATCAAACCATCCGAGAGTAAGATTGGGGATCCCCAGACTGGGGTGGCAGTAGACGAAGTAGACCATGTGGAAGAAGATGTCAGACTACTATTATTTCCTTGTCAAATTGATAAACTAACGTCACTCCTAGCTCTACTGGCTCATCAACGAGATATGATTAATCGTTTGATAGACGTATCAAGAAACGTGTCCCCTGCTAAGAGTTTCGACTGGAGAGGACAGCTACAGTATAGTTATGATAAAGATGATAAAACCGTCAATGTTAAGGTATAATCTTTAATCCATCAGGATGTGTACAATCATCTTTTCTGTATCATTGTCTGAAATAGAGCTATGCTATAATGTTGTCTGTGGACAATGGGGTTATCATAGTCATAACATGACCATTGCTAGTCCAAAACATCTGCCTCTATTCCAGCCTTTGATAGCTATATACATGTAGTGAAAATTGTTTCTACTCCTGTCAATAGCTGTCAAAATAGCTTTCAGAGACTGGAATAGAGACAGATATTTAGGACAAGATCATTGCCTTTGACAGAGCTTTGAAAGACTTACATGGTTGAAGCTTCTTGTTTTCTGTGCTACATTCTATATATCCCTAGACAGTTGCATAGTGAAAATAAGTAAATTAGACTGTTGTCTTTACAGAATTTATCTCATTGCACACTGCATGGTGATGTACTCAAGCTTATCTTTTTAGATCTAATTTTATCTCCAAAGTACCATGTTTTTTTTGTTTGTATTTTTAGTGTTTAAGTGCTGAGTTTGACTATGGGTATGAATACCTAGGATCAGCTGACCATGAGATATTAACCCCAGTCACTGAGAGAATGTTCGTTTGTTTAACCCAGGCTGTCAAATTACATACTGGATCATTAGTTGTTGGTCCTGCCGTAAGTTAAACACTTTATACTTCATTCAGTTATTAGTATTTTACCCCATTTCCAAAACTTAAGACTGAAAACTTTTGAGTACTTCTGAAGACTATTTACATATTCCAAACCCATATCAACCCCTGAAAATGGCAAACCATGGTCTTTAAGTCTAAATTTTGTGTTTTAGAAAGTGGCTAGTGAATTTTTTTAATTATAGGAGAGTGAGAAAGGAAGAATTGTAGAAGAATTATCGCGATGTTTAGGCCACGCCCACTATAGTTTTAACTGTACCTCCATCATGGACCATTATCAACTACAAGATATCTTCCGTGGAATGGCTGCCACTGGTATGTTTTATTCATTTTTCCTAAGGATTTGATTGTTTACAACCTTTCTGATGAGGGCTCTGATTGGCTATATTTGCTGGCATACAATCAAATCAAATTGCCGCATTTCATGATATAAGAAAGGTAACTATTGCAGTCAAGGTATGAGTATCAAGCTCGTAACCACTTGACATAGTGAAGATAAGCCTACAGCTCAAACAATTGAGATATTTTTCTGTTTTAGGTTGCTGGGTGAATTTTAACAACCTCAACTATTGTCAGCCAGCAGTACTGAGTATCTTCGCTCAGTTAATGTCAACTGTCATGGCCGCTCTACAAGCTGGGAAAAAATCAGTTCACCTACAATCTGACGACATACAACTCAGTCCACTTGGCGCTTGTTTTGCTCTGCTGGATTCTGCAGTGCCAGTGACTCCCAGGAATCCAGACAAGATGCTGATTTATATGTCTGCTAGTGCCAACCTTCCTGACGATGTCTTGAAACAGTTCCGAATCGTGTCTGCTCCCAAGCCTGATACCCGACTAACAGTTGAAGTTTTGTTATTTAGTGAAGGTGAGTAAATGTGCATGGGATTAGTGAGAGACCAACGTCCACGCTCTGCACCTGCGTCTTTTGGGATATAAGCTATACCATTGGTTGAGGTTTTGTAACAGTTTTAAAAACACAACTAAAGTAATTTTTGAAAGCACAGGCACAGGAATTCAGTCTTAACCTCTAATGAAAGAGTAATGTTTGTGCAGCTAGTTTGAATGATATAATATAATTTCAATATATGAAAGTTAATATTTTTTGAGGTGAATTTTTATTTTTATTTTTATTTATTGTTGTTTTATTGTGAATTATTGTGTTTTCTTCTATTTTATCCCCAGGTTTTGTAAATGGTAAAGAACTAGCCAGTAAAACTTTACAACTACAGAACCTCTGGTGTAAATTATTTGGTACCAATACATTTATTACTGAAAATGTTGCTCTAGGTAGGTTTTTACAGATTACTTGAGATTTATTCTTACATTTGAAGTTTATGTATATATGTATCTAAAATAATATTTTACAATTAACAAAAATCTTTAAAGCCCAATTTACAAAACAAATTTTGTTTGCATATATATGCTGGTTTTTTGTTTTAAACTAAGCCGACATTGGTAGAAGTATGTTCTAAACATCAAAATTATAAAAGGACACTTTGTACCTCCAGTTGAACATGACTGGTTGATAACTAAATCACCAACCCTTTAATGTTATCTTATTGTTCTTTTTTATTACCAGGCTATGATCGTAGCGCCAGTCTACATGGTTGGAGTTTACAGACATTGAAAGGTGTCGTGAGAGAAGCTGGCGCCAATCTGGAAGCTGCCATGTCAGAATCCAGTGAGAAGGATACCTTTACCCTCGACTTTTCAGAAAAACATGAAAGTGAAAATCAGGAAAAAGGTAAGGCTTTAGTAGCTGATAGAGATCAATTTTAGCTCACTGTGTCTCTTAGAATTAAGATCTGTGCGTCTCTCCTGCAAATCAACAAAAAGTTACTAAACTAATTTAGACTGTCTGGGCTTGCTGATATACCTTGACAATTGAAGACATTCTAGTTGAAAAATCACAAATTCAAGATCTACCAGATTGTAGTGTTTGATTAAAAACTATAGAACTATATATTATATTTCCTCGAAATATGAAACAAAATCCTTTTCAGAAGGTGAAATGTCCATGACTGAAAAGAAGAACATGATGGAAGACGAGGCCTTAGTGAAAGCGTTACGCGATACGTTTTTACCCAGAATGCAAGCTAGAGATGCCAGTGTGTTCTCGACACTCATTCAAGATTTCTGGCCAGGGGTAGAAGTGCCTATGATTTTTGGTGGCCAGAGTTCTGATAGAAGCGCTTTGTTTAAGGCAGAATCTCTGGAACTCATTAAATCAGACCTTAGACTGAAAACAGCCAAAAGCCACGAGTCGCAGAAATCCCTTAAAGGTAACCGTCATTCTGATTGTATTATTTTGATGTATTTTTTTTTTTTTTTTACCAGTTTACCATAAGCTCTTTAGATTTATTGCATTAATCAGGACATTTTGAATCTTGTAACTGGCATAGACAGGTATAATTTGAAAGGCAGACAAAAACACCCCTAAGTTTACATTTGTGCTCTTCCAATCATACATATATAGTTTCATAGCAATAATGAGTATGCATGTGTGGAAGAGTTCATTCAAATGTTGAGGGGTGTCAAATAGATGATGGCACACAATATCCAGCTTCTGGATGCGAATTTCATGTTTCTAATTTCAGATTCTCTAAACCTTAATACCCCTGTAGTCAACATGGCTAACATTGATCAGTACAGTTCCCTGCCATCACAGAGACATGTTCTAGAGGACATCCAAGATGCTATTGCCGTAGCAACAGCAGATCTTGGTCTATTGCCTGGTTCTTCTTTCCAATCTCGAGTTGTACAACTAGCCCATCTTAATCTAGCCCATAAAACAGTAAGTATTATGTTGTGGTCTAGGTTAGGTTGGTAACTGACTAGATATCTGATTAGAGCTAGGACTGTGGTCTTAAACAGGAACACAAGTACCAATAAGGAGGCCAGTGAGCACAAGAGAGGGTACTCGAAGAGCTTCAGAGACAATTTTGTTATTTATGGATAATAAGATTTCAGTTGACTGTTGTTTAAACCTTATAGTTTTCTAGTGTACCTAGGTGTACCAGGAGATAATGTGTGCTATTTAGGGTACGAAAATCCAAAAGGTTGTAAACGCAATTTTGTTTACATAACTAGAATGACCTGACGGAATTATTTCAGATTGTGGTAGTGGGACCTCCAGGTTGTGGTAAAAGTGAATGTATTAAAACATTTGCCGTGGCAGAAAGAGAACGTGGTAAAACTATCACCATACAGAGTGTGTTTACTAAAGCTGTAGAATCTGAGGAACTACTGGGCTTCGTTCATCCTAAAACAAAGTAAGCAGTTTTTCATTTTGTTCATTTGATATTTTTGTTCTTGATAAAAAGAAGACCTATTTATCGTGACAACCTATTTATCGTGACAACCTATTTATCGTGACGACCTATTTATCGTGATGACCTATTTATCGTGATGACCTATTTATCGTAATGACCTATTTATCGTGACAACCTATTTATCATGACAACCTTTTTATCCTGATGACCTATTTATCCTGATGACCTATTTATCTTGATGACCTATTTATCCTGATGACCTATTTATCCCGAGTGTGTGTTATTTCAGAGAATGGAAGGAAGGTTTGCTGACGTCGTTATTACGTAAATTCTGTATTCCCACCAATAATGGCCTACCTGTCATTGATATGAAACCAGTTATGAAAATAATGCAACTGGATGGTGAGGTAAGGACTAGTGTTTTTTTTAGAATTTCTGATCATTCAAGCAGTGTGAGCCAACCTCCAGAAACATGGCCAGTTCATCAGAATTTATCTTGATGAAGAACTGAACCCATATTAGTTTCTCTTTTTGCTCTGATTCACCAAAGTTACCAAAGATAATGCTCTGATTTAAGCTTATAATCCCTAAATTTTCCTACATTTTTATGACAAAGGGGTTTAGAAGAGTTTTTATTCTGTTTTTTTCAGCATTTTTTCAACTTGGATTTAAGCATTTATCTCTTCGATGTACATCAACTCATTTTTTTGTTTTTGTCTTCTTTAAAATTTTGATAAACATTGTTCTTGCAGGCTGATGGAGGACAAATGGAGCTGCTTCAACAGATTTTAGATCACAATGGTTCTGTTGTTCTATCAAATAGTGAACGATTGGTTCTACCACAGTCACTTAGATTTATCTGGGAGGTAAGCTATATCAATTAATTGAAAGATATTTTCTTGTATAATGCAGCTATAAGAACTCTTTGAGGGCTGGATGTAGCACAGGTGGTTAGGGCTTTGGAATGTTTACACAACATCATTTATTCTTCTATAATGATATCTATTGATATTTCTGAATTTCAGTTAGACTCGCTAGAGAATCTAAGTCCGTCACTGTTAGCTAATGTAGGAGTATTGGTAATGACTGAAGGAGATGTAGGATGGAAGATAATGTTGGTCCAGTGGCTTGAACATCGGCCCGAGACCGACCAAGACCTGCTGACCAGTTTCTGTAACAGTTATATGGAGAAATTGGTAGACTATGTCTCAAAATGTACCCAACCTCCTATATTCGGCTGTAAAGAGTCCAATGGTCATCCACAGTATAAACGCCTGATCAACCACACTGTTGAGAATATGGTCCATACATTCTGTGCTCTTTTTGAGGTTTGTACTTAGTTTTGTTATTTGTTTCATTAATTGAATGAGGCTCAGTGAGTTAACTCTAAAGGTTGTTTTTATGAGCTCTTGATTGGTTTTTTATTTCTCTTTTGATATGTTTTCAGTCACTAGTCAATCCGTACCCTGAACTAAGTGATGTGGAATATGAAAGATATTTTAACTACGCCTGTATCTGGGCATTCGCTGGTACCTTATCAATGGAACATCGAGAATCCTTCAGTTGTTGGTGGAAGGAAACATTTGAACAGTATATTGACTATCCTGAAGAAGGCACAGTATTTGATTATCTGGTGGATGCTGAAACTCACGAGTTTATTCGCTGGAGTGATAACTTACCTACTTATAGTGGACTGCCTCATTCTGGTATTCCTTCAGATTCTTTCGTTCATACTGTCAATGTGGAGGTAAGTATCAAAAAAAAAAAAAAAAAAAAATCAACTCTCACAGTGACAGGCAACAAAAACACCCCTTATTTCAAGAATGAGCTCTTCCAATCATACCTATACAGTTTCAGATTGATAGAAAGCATGCATGTGTGGAAGAGTTCACTAGAAAAATGAGGGATGTCAAGTAGACGACTTGCACACTATATCAAACCTTACATTTGTCTCATTTGGTATTCAGTCAAACTCAACTTAAGTTTTTGTGAAACAGAACTGGGAGCTACAGCCTCAAATTTTTCCTTGAATCTTGGGTATTGATGGAGTTCTACTCTGTTTTTCAGCAATTGTTACATATAGTAGGATTATTAACAGATGCTGGTAAACCAGTGATGCTGGTAGGAGATAATGGTTGTGGTAAAACTTCTATTATTAATGAACGATTACGTACTGTCTGTTCAGGAGAAGTGGCTGAAGTTTTATCTCTCACACTGTATGCTAATAGGTATGTATCTTTTTATTCCTGGCAGGCATTTTTCAGAGGGTTCAGTGAGTCAGACACTAGTTCGCTAACCGAGATGTCCAGGGTTCAACAGGCATAGGTCGAGATGTACTTTTTCTATCTGGTTCCCCAATTTTAGTGATAACAAGGGCAGGATCAAGTCTTTCAGATGAGGCAATAAATTGGGGCCCTGTTTGATACAGGCTGTGCAAGTTAAAGATTCAACAAATAAAAGAACCAGAAACTGATAGTCAAGTTTTATATATACATTTTTGTGATCCTTCTATTTTTATCAGATTTACGAATGCTAAATTAGTATATGAGAGACTGGATGAAAGGTTGGAATGGAAACACGGAAGAACATACGTACCACGTGGAAACAAACGTCTTCTGTTTCTGTTAGATGATCTCAATCTTTCTCAGGTTCGTAAAAAATTTATTTTAGAAGAGTGATTTCTTTGAAAGTTAAAGAACTTGGATTGTCCAGAAGGAAGTACCTTCTAATCTGGACTAAAGACTTGATCTTGATGCATTGGTGTGTCATGAGCTTGTGGTACAATCTTTGAGCATTTTTTTTTGCATATTTATCAAAACCATAAGCTGGAATGACTAAGCATGATTGACTGTTTTATTTTGCAACATTGCTAATGAAAGTCTCCGACCAATTTCACCCTTGTCCATAATAAAGGTCACAGGGCATGCTGATATGGATTTTCTCAAATTTAACCATCTATTTGGCCATTAACTGTCATTTTGTGTTACCTTCTGCAATCCAATCATAATTATTTAAGTATTTTCCAGAACAGGAAGATTCGTTTCATTGGCATTTTTTTGTCCAATTTCAGGTCGACCAATATGGAAACCAGACGGCAACTGAGCTGGTCCGACAACATCTAGATGATGGAGGATTTTACAGCGCCACCTCCCATTCATGGCGTTATGTTAAAAATGTCACCTACGTCACAACAACCAATCCCACCACAACAGCCAATTCTCCTAAACTCAGTCAGAGACTATTGAGACATTTTGCCTTATTTGGTTGTCCATATCCAGGGTAGGTTTTAACTTTTGTGAATGTCTGTCAAGCACAAATTTTCATGCCTCTTTTTCGATATTTGCACAAACTTTGTCCATGATATTATGTTTTATTTATAGTCATAGAAATTTCACTGAATTGTATGAATTAGTTGGTTGTTTTTATTTTTCACTCTTTACATGAAAGTTAAAGGGAGACAACTCCATTTTCTGATGTCTTTTAGTTTGTGGTCTGTAGCCTGTTCACTCGGGATACCATAGTCACTCTCCTTTCACATCCTTTCTGCTCAAGTATCAAATGTATTGTGCATTATATTGGTTCCTTCCTTAAGTCACTTATATTATTTCTGCACAAGTATCCTATATATTTGTATTAGTTTTTTTAGGCACTTTTTTTTTGTTTCTGCACAAGTATGCTATATATTTTTTTATATTGTTATCTATATGTGTCAAATTTTTTATTGTATTATATTAGCTTATTTAGCACTAGTTTTGCGTGAATGCATGTTTATGCATGTAAAGCATGTGCAATGTATTTATTTTGTAGAAGCACGGAGCTAGAGACTATCTTCACTACCTTATTAAACTCACATTTCATTCCACCAGAAGTCACTGGCGGCCATCATGGAGTACATGATGAAAAGGTAAGTAATTTTCAGATCTGTCTATATTTCTCTCAGATCTACTTAGACACTGTCTTTTTAGCTATTTTGGTTTTGAGAAATCTGTATGATTACATCACAGGGACAAAAGGTACACATACTGTATATTTGTAAGTATAGTGCACAGTATTTTACCCCAAAAAAAGGCTTGCCAATCTGTTGTGCACCATGTTGACAGTGACTAAAAGATTTAAGAACCTTTCACTAAAATTTGCTTGGTCATTTTGTATTTGATTGCTATTGGTCTTAGTTTCTAAAATGGAAGACAGTACCTCACATGACAAAGTCCTCTATATCCATTAGTAAGGTGTAGTTTATGTTGTTTTGAATGGAACAAACTATGAGATGAGTTTTTATCTATCAGTTGAAGGAGAACCTACGAGAAGAGGAAGCAAGGAGAAGACTAATTGGATTGGTTGTTAACGTTACCGTGGAACTACAAGACAGACTTCGTACCATGTTCTTAGCTACAGCTCAACGCTGCCATTATATCTTCACCATCAGAGATATAGCAGTTATATTCAAGTAAGTCTTCAAAAATCAAATCTGGAGTAGAAAAAAAGGCTTAAAACTCTTTGGAGTTCCCCTTTTGGCCTGTTATCTTCCTAAGTGACATGAGTTGTTATGGAATCTCCAGCACGCCCTTGTTTCCATCATTTGCCTTTGCAGTGATTGCAATAAATTCAAAAATCTTTGACATTTTGACTTGAAGCTAATAGTGTTCCATTTGAATCTGATAATCAACCTTTTCCGTATTTTCAGGAATGTCTGCCTCTCACTACGCCAAGGCTGTACCAAGAATCAACTGCTGTTGCTATGGCAACATGAATGTTTCTGGTTGTACGGTAGACGAATGGTGAATGAAGTGGATATCAGAAGATTCCGTCAAGCTTTATTCACTGCTGTTAGAAAACAATTCACAGACGAACAACAGGTATGCTTTTTTGTTAGATTGGACATATCAACTGCCGAAAACTTCTCATTGGATATGTAGAAGTTTACAGACAAATGATAACTTATTCATTAAGACTCCCTGGTAAATATTGGTCCCTACCCCTGTTGATGCTGAATGCTTTAATTCGTGTTCAATAAGTCCATTGGATTTTTGAATCAGCCATTTTAACAACAAACAATCAAAAATTGTAAAGGGATATTCTTTATTCTAAGCAGATCCACGAGCTACTAAAACCAGTTCCACCATTGTTCAGTAATCTAATGGAACAGGACAGTGGTATTGTGACAGCAGGACTGATAGACACACGTCAAAATGTCAACATCTCAGAAGAGGACTCGAAAACTGACCTTTACAGACTGGTAGCTGATAGAAAATCTGTTGAAGAATTGATGGAGAAGGGAGTAGAAGAATACAATAAAGTTCATCCTTCCATTAAATTGGCTCTTTATAAGGTAAATATACTTTGCTTTTGCCGTGATTTTCAACCTTTGAGCTCTTCCTTACTGTTGAGTGATGTTTGTAAACCAGGGGCGTTTTATTTGAAGTTTACCTTATATAGGCCTAATCTCCGGATTATCAGCAAAGGAAATACAGTACTATCAGGATAAAAAGAGTAAGCTAATGCCTTAATTCAATAAGAAGAAGCAATTATTGAACTTGCCTTTTCCTTAAGAAAAAAAGCATTGATTCTTCTTTTACATGAATTCTTTCTTCATCTGTTTTCTATTTTTGCAGACTGTTGTGTCTCAAGTATGTCGACTGGCTAGAACTATAGCATCACCTCATGAAGGAGCTAATACAGTGTTGGTGGCTGATGGCTGTCCTGGAAGGTGTTCAGTAATAGTCAAGCTGGCAGCTCATCTGTGTGCCTACAGTATTTACCAGATTAACCCCAGCCATGTGAACAGTACCACAGACCAGAAACGAGAACAGTTTAAACAAGATTTAGTGCAGGGTTACACTAGAGCTGGCACTAAGGTATGTGTAAACAAATTTCTACAGACATTCGCAATTATACAGTACAGAAATTTCACAGTTTGACACTTCATTCTGAATAAGTATAGAATTCAATCTTTAATAACTTATTTCCTTTTTTTTTGAAACTTTTGTTTTAATATGGTGTCTGCTTGAGAGCAAACAGGGGCGCATTATATTCGCAATTATACAGTATATGAAATTTTTATTCAGATTGGTTTCTTGAAATTTTACAGGGAGAAAGAATCTTATTATTACTTCATGAAGAAGAATTAGTGGATGAAGATTTCCTGGTCTATTTGACAGAGTTTATCGTGTCAGGTTCCATCATGCATCTGTTTTCCTACGAGGAACAGACCACTATTATTAATTCTATTCGAACTGAAGTTACTCAAGCTGGTTTAACTTATACTAGAGATGTCGCTTGGAACTTCTTCCTCAAGTATGTTTTTTGGTATTGTTTTCAAAAGAATGCTTCTAGCATTTATATGCATCATTTCAATTCCCTGCCTCTGCAGATATGTGTGGTTCCTGTAAATCCATCAAAAACTTAACCAAAATATGATTTCAATATTGTAAATATTAAAAATCAGAATGGTATAGGTAGAAAATATGTGTCGCTTTTAATATATGCATAATCTTTTATTTTTTCCAGAACTGTACGTAAGAATTTCCGAGTGTGTCTAATAGCGAGCAA